TAGAATATCATAAACGAGAGATTCAATTGAGTTTCCTGTGAAAACCAAATTGATTGGCAAATGAGTGTAATTCTCAGAACCAGTCTAATTTGGGTTCAAGTAGAACATGAGGTTGACGAAAACTCGGGGAACGCGCCGACCTGATGAATCCCAAGAAGGGCGAAACCGGTCGTGGGCTGTCAAACGGTTTTCAGCAACCTTGTGAGTAGTTTCCTTTATGGAGACATTTATTTGAAAATCCACCATTCATGGTTAGTCAGGTACACCTTCGAGGAGTGCGTCAGTCACTAAGCTGTTTGTATATAGCCATTGGAGAATGGAGCTGTTTCTTGCACTGACTTTCGAAAGATACATAGAAATAGATGGTGTAAATCACCAATCTATGAAAAAGATTGCGTTCACACATACTGTTGGTTCGCTAATCGGTTTGGTGTGGCTAACAAGAGGTGACGACGGTATAGTTTCTGGTCCACTGGCGGATCGGTCGTACATAGTGTGCATATTCTCATGGCAACTGAACTGCCGATAGCTACACTTCTTTGTCCATGGTGCTGCTATCTTAACATTCCAGAGATGTGGGTGGTGCTGATTCTAGCAGTTTGAATCCGGATTGTCTGATTGGGCGTTGAGATCTGCGTGCACCTCGGAATTACCGTGACAACAACATCAGCTCTGTTCTCCTCCCCAGTTATTCGCACTTTGCATTGCGAAACTTTCTCCGAATGAGTCACAACGGTTTCGTGAAGATGAATTCTGAAGCTCGAGACTGACGCTGGTTTTACCGGCAATGATACTGTGTTAGGCAGGCTTAAAGCACGGGAACTTACAACCTGGCAGTGCCGAAGGTCGGGAAACATTTATCCTGTGCGATGTTTTCACAAACCAAAGGTAAATCTGTCCAAATCACAAGTGTGCCATTCCTGGTCAAGGGCCATTGCTACTTGTGGGTGATGAAGCCAACCGCTGCGGACAAACCTACAAAAATATGTTCTTTTTCAGCAAACAATATTGGAATTGCACGAGCTGTTTCACTGCTTTACTGTAAAACAGTTAACCGGGTGCCTGATGAATACTATTGATCTATATGGTCCAGCGTGAGCTGTTATCGAAGCCTGTTCGAACAGATACTTGGGTTGTAATCGATTTACTCGCCAGATCACGTGAAAAACAGTACCTATGTAAATTCGGCTCTGTATTCGATCGACCACCCAGAACAGCCATTAGGCAAGATGTCCATGTATCCCTCTGATTAATGCAATTCATGAGCTGTAAAGTGGAAATATGCCATCGAACCTCACGAACATCAAAGTAATTTGGTACTTTCCATGAACTGAAATATCAACTACGATTGATATGATAGGACTACTCGGGTGTAATAAACCCATCTTATCAATTTAAGGTGTTTATTCATGTGCATGAGTGAAAACGGATGAATATCAGAACAGCTCGTTACTAAAGGATACTTAAGGGTACTTAAGGATATTGACATTCACGCATGGGCGTGCCCACAAACCTCGTGCCAAAACGTTAACGTTCTACAATATCATTTTCGTCGCCTTAGGTACTCTGTTTCATGCCTGCTTACGGTCAGTCGAATTATTGCTGGAAATTGGCAGTCAGAAACTAGTCGGTAAACTTGAACAGAAGCTATAGTACGTCCAAGGGACACGAAAAAAGACGTAATTGTTCCTTGCAAGACGAGCGTTCTACGGCTTTGACTACCGCGAAAGCAAGCCCACAACGCACGTACTCACGTGGACCCTACAATGCTGTGTGTTTCCTCTGCCAAATCTGTCGACAGTTTAGGTCTGTAAGCTCCATTGAGGCGTACCTTATGTTTAACCTGATGTCAAGAATTTCTCAGAAAAGTGGAAGACCGTGTACTCGAATATCGCTCGAATGCTGTACTCAGGATGACATTTTGGTGGTGAGACTTGTGTCCCAAGATCGAGTGCTAACTGCCTGAGTATGGTGCACATGCGCGTGCTTGAGCGTTGGAGTGATTGAATCAATTGAACAGCATTGATTATTCACAGACTGTACGAGTCAACAGCCTCAATCCCTACACCCCATAACTTTGAATAGGACACTAAATTAGTGATGTCTAAGTTATCTCTCAGACAATAGCTTTATGAGTTATAAAGCAGTCCGTTTAGAGCTTAGGCGGTCACTCAAAATGGGCAGACACAACTGTTGTCTGGACATAAACTCAGTATGAAACTATACAAAATTGCAGATGATGTAATGATTCGGACGTCCTGAAAGGGGTGGGGTCGAAATTCACTGCTTTACCGACCAATTTGAGAACATTTTCTTTAGTGCGTTCACAGCCGTTTTGTCAAGTTTCCATTATATATATATATCATATATTAGGCAATTATTCCGGGAGAAATAATGCTGTCCTGCACCCGCTCCCTCGCTGCACTCTCAGAAGAATTGCCCCGTTGAGAGACAAAATCGTTGAAGACTGGAATGGTATATTCACACCAAAAATTCCAGGCCGACAGGTTTCACCCTTCTCAGGTCTCACAAGGCAGGCGTACTATCCGAGTTACCGCCAACCTTATGCTGACCTTGAACTCAAACTGTGTGGAATTCGCGAACTAGACTCACTTGCCTGCGAATTTGGTTTTACCGGGAGACTCAACTTAATTCCGGCTGAATCGATCGTTTTATGGTACTCTGCGAGACTGTGGTATCTCGAATATAGTACCAACTGAAAAATGAAGCAACTTTGTACAGTACATTCATTTGAAGAAATGGGAGGTTCAACGCGCAGCCTAAAGTAACCCGATTACTGCATCATGTGTTTTGCTCCGGACCTTATAGGCATCCAGTCGGGAAGAAAAATCAGCAGCTCAAATCTGGATGTAGGATCATACTCAATACTGAATTCGTAGTCAAGCCGCTCAGTTGATCAGCATTGCAATCGATTGACATTGTGACGCAAGAGCTTCTTTTTCGGAACCGTTTTTTTCGTGCCATTAGAGGACTACCGTGTTCTTTTTATTTAAAATTTTTTGTAAAAATTCCAGTAGAATGTAAGACTCATTTCAGATACAACTCCAGATATTTTCGACTGAAAATTTGGCCTTGAGACAAGGGTGAAATAACCCATATCTTTATCCGGAGGCCAGCCGTCCCTAATGACCGAACATCACCTCATTTGGACGGATGTCACGTGCAGGACTCGAACCAAACGAAGGCACGCCCTGATTGGTCAGAATGTCAGCCAACACGGATCGAGTATCTCTGACTCGACGCTTCTCGCCCTCTCACGAAGATTCTAGCACGACCTTGTGGAACACTGTGACTACCCCATAAATACGGTCGTACTAATTTTCCTTTGTCTCCACAAAGGGCTGTGTAGAGCGACCGTGCCTTCTGATAAACCATAGTGGGCGGAGCAGGAATCCAAGGGACCGATACAGAGTTGCACGATCGTCCATCAAACCACGGTACCGGTAAAATATTCCGGCTCATTTCTATGGGACACTCGGACTGGTCGGCGAAATAAGGAAACAAATAAAATCCGACTTCCTCAGTAATCGCTTGGTTTCAGAACCCCTTATAGACGAGAGTTTCGGTCAATCGGTCGTCCTATGCGTGAGACTGAACATATCGTCCAGACCGGCGGTGTGAATCGTATCCGTGTGGCAAAAGAGTTTGCGTGCCAATTTTCGACCACTATTTCTGAATATGCAAGTGTTTACAATAGCCTGTCCTTTACCTTTGTTCATTAAAAGCGTTAAGTTGAATGCGTCATACTGCCTTTGCGTGAGACCCCGTTGCAACACCTTTTCTGTCCATAACTGCCATACCAATTGCAAAGAATACGAGGGCGAACATGCTGCCCAAACCTAAACAGGAGTAGTCGAGAGGTCAATGTTAGGCTCGAACCAATGCGCCCCTACGGAGTGCTACCCAAACCTAGACCGGAGTACTGGAGAGGTCGAGGTTAGGCTCGAACCAATGCGCCCCTACGGATTGCATTCATGGTCCGTAACCAAGCTACTGCTATCGAAAATTCTAATCCGAACTCTTATGGCGGACTACGGCAACTGGAAACAGTTGTGCGCATTACGTGTCAGCAACTGTTTGCCTGTACTGCCGAGAGTCAAAAGCAACCAAAGCATTGTTCAAGACACTCATGTTAGCTTCAAATATAAACATATTCAGCCTATACCACGAGGCATTAACCGCATTTTTTAAACAGATTTCGGGGCAGTGTTTATCTCATATTTCTGTTCCATATTTTCTTGTTTTCATTGTTCGCATTGGTAGGCCCGGAAAGACGCGAACTGAAAACGAACAGGAGGCACACAAACTACACCGTTCAGTTAAGCTGCGCTGGTAGCAGTCACAAAGGTATCCTACGGTCTGTGCATCAGAATTTTAGCCACGACTGCCGTCTGATGTGCTGTGCAGCAGTAAGTCGCAGAATACGGCACATCTACTGGGGCCCGTTTGCTCCGGATAAGGAGGCTGCTACTTTACTAGTGTAAGCAATGACCATGGGTTTATTGAAAACGACTGCTTTCGGTCGGTCGTCTGGCCCGGTGCTAGTACAAAAAAACAGCCACCGCTTCACCGAGGATACTGTTTTGATATTTTCGGATTCCTACGATTTTCCTCTATTTGGTATTTGCCATCATTTTATGCCTTGGAAAAAGCAGCAAAACGTTGTATTTTTGCCGAAAAATTGAAATCATGACTGGTCCGAATTAATATTTCTAGGTTTTCCTCTATTTGGTATTTGCCATCGTTTTATGCCTTGGAAAACACAGCAAAACGTTGAATTTTTGCCGAAAAATTGGAATCATGACTGGTCCGAATTAATATTTCTAGTTCGTCTCCAGTTTCATCCAAAAAATCGGAAATTCCGTCGACCGACAAGTGAATTCGTTGTATTCTGCATCCTTGTTCCTCCTTCCTCAAACTGGGACCTCCTCCGCAACGGCCCAACTTGCCCGGGTCCGACGAGCCTTACCAGTAGATAGATGAAAGGGTACAAACAAAATTCCCATAAAAAGAAACCAGAAAGGTTTTCCAGTCCGTTTCTCAATCGATTTTACCTTCGGAGGTAAGTAAATTCAAAAACCGTTTGCCGCGACAATTTATTTCTCTTTATTTCTGGTGAGCCAAAGTGAACAGAAGTCAGTTTTCTTTTTAGTACTCACCTATGGTCTGTATTCATGATGCCGCCTGACGACTAGACGTGTCCTGTAAACTGAGACTCCTTGATTTGTGTGGCAAACCATGAATGATATATAGCACGGGGCAAGAACAGTGGTATGTCTACATTTCTGGTTAATATGACGTCACTTACAGGCACCATGAGCTCAAACACCCCGTGAAGGTCCATTATTATGCTTAATAATCCAGCCAGTTTTCACGCAACTCTGTCAGAAGCAATTTGTCAGGGTAAGTCGAAAAGGTGCCAGAGGTCACTTATGAGCTAACATCAGTTTAGTAACCAGTAGCAATGAAGCGATGAGTGTAGTCGAAACTTAATGAAGCCAAATGTTTTCGGTCAGTTGGAACCGATTGAGAAGTCGCTAATACCGACTGCTATTAGCGGACACCACCCTTTCAGAACTGACACGGTAGATGAAATAGTGGAGGGTATAAAAACATGTCTGACTCTCACCCACTTCGCTTTTGACTCAGTGGTTTATGCTCAAGAATAACGTCTAGCAATGGGATCTCCATATCCCCGGTTTCGACAAATATATTTGTGGAAGAATTTGAACAGAAAGCTTTAGCTGGATTCCCATAACCACCTAAGATATTCTGGCGGTATGTAGAGTACACTTTCGTCGTTACGAAACGAGACAATCTTAGTGAGTTTTACAACTATCTGAGTGAACTGAATCCACAAATCAAACTTTGTATGGAGGTGGAGTCAACCTCGGGTACACTGGCCTTTTTGAATCCACAAACTTTGTATGGAGGTGGAGTCAACCTCGGGTACACTGGCCTTTTTAGACTGCATGACACATAAGTTTTGGGGGAGACTAGACTAAACCCTCAAACTTTGTATGGAGGTGGAGTCAACCTCGGGTACACTGGCCTTTTTAGACTGCATGACACATAAGTTTTGGGGGAGAGGAGAGACCATAGTGTACGAGATGCCAACCGACACCGGAACAGTTTTGAACTACACGTCTGCCCATCCGAAGTCGGCTTCGCCAATATTGCGTCATCAACTTTTAGGCGTGTAAAGGCCCTGTGCACAGAAGAAGCTGATCGGACAGTGGCCCAAAGTGATGCAAAGGACAAACTTCGGGGTAGTGGATATCCAGCTAGCATGATTAAGCCTCAATTGCGAATGGTGTTGGCACAGGTAGCGAAACTCAGTAGGGAATGGTTCGGGACCGCTGTTGTCCCATATAAACCAGGGACATCGGAGGTTATTCGAAGAATTCTAAACATGGCTAACGTACGAGTAGCTTTCTGCACTCTGCACTGGTGCAATTGAAGGATCACCTCCCGGCAAACAGAACCAGGGACTGTGTCTACGAAATTAAGTGTAACGACTGCACCAAGGTCTATATAAGACAGACGGCCAGGGAACTACACACCATAATCGGAGAGCATAGTAGAAGAATAAACAGGCCGCCGAGAAATCCAGATGCATATTAGGCGTTACCAAAAGACTCGGCAGTCGCGGAACACGCACTGGACACGGGACACAAAATCGACTTGGAAAATGTTGAGGTTTTGAGGAGATTTTGACGTCACAAAGACTGATAGCCGAGGCGGTAGACACCGCCAAGCTTCCCAGTGTTAACAGAATAGAAGGCGTGGAACTGGCACGCGTGTGAAGAACGGTCTTGTGTCACTCGAGCTAACACGTGTTGGTTTCCAAATATCAGAGGGAAGAGTAGTCATCATCTGGATTCCACTCGACCTTATGCACCCCCCTCCTCTCAACTAAATTGTCGTAACATCCACATGCCCACGAAGATCAAGGAAAATCCACTAGTGGCACCCGAGGTGAATCATCAAGTGAACCACCCTGAAGTGGAAGATTATTGAAAGAAAAATTTGGGACCCCTCCAACCCATCAATTCAAGATTTTGGCACCCACACTAGCCGACAAGAGCCGTTATTTGACACTCAACACTGATCTAGTGTGAAGAGGACTTACTGATTGGTTCCCCGTCTGCCTTATAATCTAGCCAATTTGGCGACCTGTTCATTTGGACTGATGAAGATTTTGTCTCAAAGCGAAACGTTGTTCAAATAAAAACTACCGATTGTTTACCAGACTTTTTCTGAAACGATAATTATTTCGGTTGTGTCATACTGGAACCGTCTAACAGCCTGTTCAGAAAGATTTGCCGGATATGTTCCCTACTAACGCTTCAACAGCATAATTCTCGATTGTTCGAAGGACAAACTGCGTGGCAGTCTTTGTATTTTTTTCTGTTAGATGTGTCATTAGGTGGCCGCAGGAGGTGGGCGCTAGCTTGACGGTGATCATTTGGATTGAACAACAGTGAGTAGAAATATCATTTGACATTTATAGGGAAGACCATTACACTCACCACACTGCAAGTAATGAGCGACTAATTTATGCGTTTGCTCACACAACGCACCTACAGGTGCAAAATGCTCAATCAATCCAGCGTCGCAAGCACCTCTTAAGGTGATACTACGACCGTGACAGCGTTGTTACCACACGCACACACGTGATTAAAATCAACGAGATCGTGTAATGGTGGGCATCAACGTGGCGGTATGATCAGATCGGTTAAAGAGAAAGGGTTAGTAAACCTAGGAAAGTCATCTCTGAACCGGATGAAGCTTGTGGTATAATTCAACTGAACGTGCTGCACTGAGGCCTCCTCCTGTCTCAATTGATACGGCAGTTGAGAAATTTTCATGATGGAAACTACTCGCAAGGTTGCTGGAAACTAAGACAACCCACTATCGGTTTCCTTCTTCTTGAGGCTCATCAGGTAGGCGTAGTCCCATGGTGTCTGCCACCTTATGTTCTACTTGAACTCAAATTGTACAAAATTTGCCAGATACATCCAGTTATGTTATTCTCCCGTGTTATTAAACCCATATTATTCCCTAGATAAATGTGCTATACAAAGGCTGTCTCTTGTTTCAGCTGGTACCTAACTGATGAGCGCTAAGAAGGGCGAAACCGCTCATGGGCTGCTGACCTGCTTTCAGCAACCTCAAGAGTAGCGTTCTTTCAAAGAAAGTAGGCTTTCTACGGGTCAGACGGGTTACTTTCCGGTCTCTATTGGTGTGAAAACTCGTCTTGTAATCCTTAGTGAATGCAGTCAGTTGTTTCAGGACTGCTTCTTCGCAATGTTACGTTGCGATCACAGACCGCAATGAACAAGTATATGAATATGTGCGTGTTACAAACTCTGCAAAACGAAAGATCATGGAGTATTCGTGGCCTTAATTATTCCGTTTCAAGCACATTAGTATTGCAATGCAGTATGCCCTCAAAAATATCTGCTTCGGTCGTTTTTTACCAGGCTATTCAGTCACGCGAGTGGACCATTCGGTGGTGCCGAAATGCGTATGGGATCAACTGTCTGCGTGATCACATATGCAACTGGTGATTCACCGGAAAAACAGGATTGCCACCGTAGTCGATAAGGCAGGCTTATTAACCGACCAGCTGCTACTCACCGGCACACAACCTTGAAAGTCGGACAGACAGGCATGTTTGTACTGTTTCCGATCAGCGATAAGCCAAACGGACACCCGTCTCAAACGTTATATCCACCTTTTGCTTGTGGTTGAACGCCAAACAGGATTGCTCACCTGAGGTTGAGAAAGAGGGCTCATGAATGACCTTCAGGAGTACACCGTGTGAACACAGGCAGTGAAAGCATGCTGGTGCAGCAGCTAGGAAATGCGCAGAGGACCCTGGCGAACGCGACTATAAGGCTCATTTTTTGAGGAAGACCATGAGGAAAATTTAAAATTGATGCCACTGTTAGCACTTTGTAAAACCAAGTGGCTAGTAGGTGAACCAGATCTGGGGGCGGACCATACCTTCGCCCTGAAGCGTGCACCTCGAACTGTTTCTATTAACAACAAAATCCTCATTTGGTTATAAAAAGCCTGGAAATGATTGAGAAGGCATCATTTTCGAGAAATTTTGGAAAGCGGACGGAAGATATACGTTTCGCTTTTGATACAAATACTTTGTCAGGTCAAGTGACCAGGTTATGTTGTATCGTGGGTGGCCGTCTATGGGTTACGCCTGCGCTGAGCCTGCCAGACTACGCGATAGGGAGAAGACAGAGAACTGGGGACACGGCTGTATTGCCAGGACAAAACATACAGAGCGTCTGCGTAATATATAGGATGACTAACTGGCCAAATATGGTCGTTCACTTGTTCGTTCCGTACAGCCTATGGTGGTGTTTCGGTCGTGAACAGTCTCAGACTCACTACGCTGGTCATGTGTTGCTAAGCCGTATTTGGTAGGAGCCGCCAACTCACCTACTTTCCGGGTGTGTCGAACCCATAGCGACCTTAAGGATGCGTCACTCTCTGCACATGTGCTTTTTCTTCTGTCTGGGCGCGTCCTGACAGGTTACGAGCTTGATCCAAGTTTAAGGCAGAAGGAGCATCATCTAGTAAGACCTTTCCCTATTGTCTAGCTAAATCGGCGTTAGGTGGCGGCTAAGGGATTTTGTTTGTTAGATGGTGTTAGTGCGTGGGGAGGGGGAGAGACTCGCACCGATTTGGGTCCTGTCTTGGATCTCGACCTTCCGGTTCACTTCACGTGAAGACCCCTCTTGAATGTCGATTGCAATTTTCTTCTGTCAGTGAACTAGTGCTGCGATAGTTGTGTAAAGGAGAGAGGGATTACGTGAACTTTCGTCAAGTTGGACTTCCTACCTCTTTTTCTAACGCACTGACAACCACACACCATCACGTGTCATTCCGGCTTATCTAACGCCGCTCTCCATACGCTTACCAGTCCTCGATTTCATTCACACTGGGAGACTTGGTGATTTCCGCCGTCTCGGCCATCAGCCCATGTGGTGTGATTCACATTCTTAGTCTGAAAATTGCTACGTTTTTCAGATCTGTTCCATATCCATGTCCTGCCATCGATATGTTTTGAACAGTACTTCGTATCCGTTAGCTTTGTTCATCTTTCGTTAATGCCTTCAGTGCAGTTGTTGCATTTACTTTTATGTGCAATCTCTAGTCCTTTTAGCCTTGAAGGGACCTTCAATTGCACCAACAATAAATGTAGCGTTCTCCTCCTCTGGAACACTAGTCGATTGTTGCCTATGTTCAGCAATTGTCGAATAATTCCAGACGTTCCCGCTTTATATGTGTCAAACTAAGTCTAGGTATCGGAACCGATACTCATGTCAATTGTTGCCTGATCCGACCCACTAGGTATTGGGGTTTGTTTGTAACCTCGATTTGAGCTGCTGATCACTTCTCACTCGACGAAACATTGATGGGCTAGTGATAGCGTACACAACCTTCCCATGTGTTGATCAGTAGTCTGAGACGGTCCGTGTCCGTTGGTCTCTGGAAGTTTTTAAATTCCCCAACACTCTTATATGTCACATAGTCCAGGAAGGGTATTGTTCCGAGAAGGGTGAAAACCATCGTGAGAGTTGTTAACCATATCACATCTGATCACAAAAAGTGCTGTCAAGACAACGCCAACAAATGGCCGGAGGTTAATGTTATCCAGTCAAGGCTATTTTCTCGAAGCCTTCCACGCAAATCTTATCCATAATCGGGGATACTGAAGACCTCAGTCTGCGACCTTGCAATTCTTGCTGGTAATGTCGAATCGTCAGGCTGGTGTGGAAAATATGGAATTACGCTGTTTCAGGGCAACATCAACAAAGCACAATGAAATGGTGTTCGGTATTTGTCGGGACGCGTCCAGACATGAAATATGTGCATGTGCAGAGAACGACGCGTCCCCAAGCTCACCATCGGTCCCACACATTCCGGATGGCACGGCTTAGTAGCATGTGACCAGCGGAGTGGGGCGAAAATTGTTCACGACAGAACACCGTCATTGGACGTACAGAACGAACAAGTGGACGACCATAATTGGCCCTCTAGTGGTCACTTACGCAGAAGCTGTGTATGTTTGTCCTGACAACACAGCCGTGTGCCGTCCTGTCTTCTGACTATCGGGCACTCTGGCAGGTTGAGTTCGCGCGTAACTGATAGACGGCCACCCACGATACAATGGTACTTGAGCGAATTCTGAATGGAAGTTCTGGTAACTACACTCATTTGCATACCAATTTTTATTCACGGGTGACTAACTTGGAAACCCAGCTGAATCTCTCGTTTATGGTGTTTTTTTTTCAAGCAACTGGATGTGCTCCCGTTATCGATGAGTCCCTACAGTTACAGTCAGAGTGTAAATAACAGCAG